CATATGCTTCTTACTCGGTACGTGACAGCATCTCCGTAACATAGTACTAACCGCGGGAGTTTTCCTTCACACCAAATATCCAGGCAATCTTGATATTTTGGGTACATTACCATTTATGGTTAAGCATTATGCAGATTTTACTGCATTGGCGTAGGGCATTAGATTAACGTAAGACAGCATTCACTTACCACAGCGTTTCATTTTGGACACGACAAGTGTTGAGCGTAAGATGTTGTTGATGACTAGCAAGGCAAGAAGATGTCCGTAAAAAGTGGCCTTTATTTTGCACTTGATGGGTAAGTGAGCGGAAATTTGCATAGAGATATTTAGACTTTTTCTCAAAAATAAATCTCCGCGCCAGCGCAGCAACGTTTTGGGAATCATGCTGCTGGGCAATCCCTTATGCACACATTTATGCAGCGAATTTAGGGCACACGTTTGCATTACTCTCTCCTCTGTCTCCTGCTGCTGACCCTCATGCACCGTTCTTATCAGATTGTTGAGAATGAAAAGGAATGGCTGTTTGGTTGTATTTGATTCGAATTTTATTGCTTTCCAAAAAGCGGTGAACTAATGCGAAGCGAAGAGTCGGCTCTGTTACGTTCGAAACGTTTTAACTGTGTACGAGTCTCAGCACGCAATAGAGCTCAGCTGCAAATGCAGTAAGTCATCATGCAGCAGCTTTCGTCCGATATCATTCCCCGCCTGCATCCAATTCACCGTGGCGAATTTTTTTCTAGGCATACGCATTAATCGCAACCAAAGCTTATCATTATCAACCTTTCTGGGGGAACACGTGCTGTGGGCAGTTAGTTTGTTAGCTGCTGCGAACTTCTCTTCCTTGTTTCGCTCATCAGTGCCTTTTCTGCCAGTGAGCCCTTCTCGTCCTTCTCCCCTCCACCACATTTTGCTTTGACATCATCCAACATGTCTCCATGTTGGATCTGGCGATGAAAATCGACTCGAATTTTGCATGGAACTTCTCCCTCCTAAATATGTCGGTGGCCACTTGTTGCCTTTAAAGTTGTCCATTTCTTGCAAAAGAACAAAAAACGCAGCTGAAGACCGACTAAATCCGCATTTTTTTAATTCACCTTGTCTTTTTGATTTGACAGATTTTGAATACTTTAACTCCGTACTAGCGCCTAGCGTGCAGGACCCAATCGTAACAATACGAAAACAAAACCCATTCTACCTTCAAAAAATATGCAGCTGCAAGCGATGGATGCTGTCATTTTTGAGCGGTACCAAGAAAGCGTGTAGTCGGCTGAGCAGTTAGAGCTTTTAAGAAGATGGTGTATACGCTCCAGCGAGTACAGACGGGGAATAGTTAGCCAGTAGGGTCCTTGTCTTACGCAAGATGCGCCAGTGACTAGGCCAAACTATAACTTGGAGAACTGGCAACAAGATTATCCTCAGCACGAAGGAGTGGCAGAGATGGCTCATCAAACTGGCTTTATCATTGACAGGTCGCCAAGATTCATGTTTTGCTAAATTTGCTTATAGCAACTCAATGCCCCCCGCTTCGGCCAGAATCACTTAACTCCACTGCCTTGAATTATCGCCAAGCTACACATTACAATTCTATTGCTGGTAAATAACCGAATGGAATACAGGTTCGTGTTTTATTAGTCCGAAACAGCTTAAAACAGTTAGGTAGAAGACAAAACGACAACAGCTTTCGAGAGTTAAGAAACAAACAAGCGCTCATATTACAAAGTAAAATGCCAATACAACATAGCAGCGTATTACAACAAGAATAAATTGCACAAGTCATGTAACAAGGCACTGATTATTTCACAGGGACGTCATTATTGCCACAAAATACAACGATCCACGGTAATAACCCCTACAGCAACTGGAAAGCAGGGTGGATGTAAGAATTTCAGATGTCAGCTTCAATTTTGAAAAAGAGCTCCTGATACGCCACAGTAATAAAAGACCAGCGGTAACCTCAATACGCTTGTAAACTTCTTGGCAAGCATTTTTTAAATTTTTCTCATTTTAACCATCGCACTAGCCAAGTCACTTTTGATGACTTTTGTGACGTGTCCCTCCCATCAGAGTGCCCCGCCCTGATGGGAGGGAGACGTCC